ATGAAGGCTTACCAGTCCCCATTGTTATTTACACTGGGTCTGTGAAATGATATAACATCACTAGTATAATTTAATTTAGTGGATGCGATAAAAACACCATGGCCCCCAATGAAAGAGAAAAAATAGGCACACCATGTGCATATTTATCTAATGTTGTATTGATTATAGAACCCACATCACACTTCATATCAGACAAATATATACAGCACTTTGCTTGTCAATTTATGATGCCAATGTAAAAAATTATAAATTTATTAAAAAAACCGCAAACTTTATTTCTTTTAAACTCCCTGGCCAATAACTTTAAACACAATCTCACTGTTTTTCAGTTCTCTCCAAAAAAAAAAGACCTCTGACTTCTTCATGCGTAACATAAGAATAATTATAGGTAGACCTAGAGATGACAGAGAAAACAATTCCAGGGGATCTGTCTGTTCTGTACTGTACTTATCCCTACCTTTCGAGTCTTCAACACACTAATTTATAAGCAAACCATACCTGCTAGCTCTACATTTTTCCAGTTCCTGAAGATTTAGCACATCTTCATAAATCCAACAAACGTACCCAACAGTCTCAATATATGAAACTCAGTTCACTTGAAAACCAAAATAATAACTATAATCCGTAATTGTATCAAAGTACAACGTTTGACAAAAAAGAATGTATAAGGTATATCAAATCTCAAATGCACCTACTACATCTCTAATCTCTGTACCATTTAGCTTCTTTTTTTTTTTTCTTCCCCAATTCCCCTTTTTTCTCTCCTCCTACCTCCACTTATACCCAGTCTCCTCTTGCTCCTTCACCCTACTCAACACCCCCTCAACAGCCACATCAAATGCATCCCTAATACCCTCCAACCCCTCACTGGTCTTTCCATACACTATATTGGGCAAGTAATCAATCACTTTCTCTCTCATCTTCCTCACCTCCTCTCTGCTAATTTTTTTCAGAACACCCTTTATAGACTTCCCATTCTTCACATCATTCCGGTCTATATACACCGAGTAACTCCCCGGTTCACCCGGCAAAAACCACTCATACTGGTAATAAGCCGTTCTATTCCAGAAGAAAACCGGAATCGAACCGGCAACCATGCAATCGAAAATGGACCGGCGAGTAAAGCTATCACCTCTTGGCTGTAAGCAAAAATCCGAGTCGAGAAACGTCTCGAGAATCGCCGACGTACCGTTGGAGCATTTGGACCCGCCACAGTCGACGACTCGGCACGAGTCAGACTCACTGAAACATTGACTCAGTAACAAACCTCTAAAATCGTTCTTGATAAATCCACGTGTCGCACCCGCGAAGCAGTAGAGTGTCTTGCGGTGACGTGTACGGACGAAATGTTGCCACTGTTTGACGTCAGAGGAAGAGCTAGGGTGGAATCCAGTGGGGTATGGTACACCAATATCAAAATAGTCCCAAGAATTCCGCTCAATCAGAAGGCGGGTGATGTTACGCATTCCCGGCAAGTAGATACAACGCGAACCCCAATCTCGATCTTTCGATCGGCGAAAATCCCATGTGATACGACCCATCGAGATAAAATGATCCCAACCATTGGATCTGTTCCAGTACGGTTGATTCTGGACCCACTTTAGCATCATCTCGCAGTGCCGATCACGGTCTTTCCCCGTGGAATTATCGGACCATAAGTATTTCCCAACGGCAAGTCCAGCGTAAAAAGGAATGTAGAACGCCGTAGCAGATTCTGGCTCTAGGGTTCTGCACCTGTAATTCTTCATCCTATTGTGGAAGATAAGCTCTAAAGCAAACTGGTCCGTCCAGTACCATGCATTGGTGAGATTTTCTGGGATGATCTCGGAAAGCCCAGTGGCTCTACGGCCATAGCCATGATTTGAGAGAGCTTCGCAACGAGAGGTCCAAGGGTTTAGATCGTCACAGTTTTGAACCAATTCATAATTGAACATGGGTGGGAGATCGTAAATAAAGACTTTACCAAATGTACAGTGGGTTTTGATCGGAGAGGAGGAGGGAGAAGGGGCAATGGGGGAGGCGAAATGTTGGTGCTGGGTGGAGATGGAGGTGGATGAATTTGGGAGAGAGCGGGCCATAAAGAGGAGGAGGATCTGGAGGAGGAAGATGGAGATGAAGAGCCATGAGCGAGAGAGATAGGGTTTGAGGAGGGTGTTGAAGGAGTTTTTGCGGTCTAAGACTGGGGTTTTGGGTTTTGCAGTGGGTTCTGATGAGGGTTTGTCGGAAATGGGAAGCATGAGAAGTTTTAATGTGGGAATATGGGTTGATTCCGGCGGAATTTAGCCGGAAAATTGAAGGGTTGGCGTTGAATTCAAACGTTGCACTTGGGTGGTGGTGATACTGGCAGCTGTTCCGAGAACGTAGACAACGGTAGTGGAAGGGAGAGAGAGAGAGACGTAAAGCGGAAGGGCTGGTTAGTTCGAGGCTTTTTAAGCTGTTGTTAATGGTTTTTTGATCGGTGTGGACACGTGTCCAGTTACATTACCGGCTGCAATGCTATCACCGACAACAAATAAGTTTGCTTTCCTTACACGTGTCGGTCAAATTTACCCAATCATGAGTAAAAAGCTAATTACGTCGGATAAATTTGCGTGAAAGCAGGGACGTGAATTTGGAATAGAGTAATAATATATGTATTTAAAAATTAAATTCGATAATTTTAATCATTGAATAGATAATGAATCTCAATAAATATTGAGGTTCACAGTAAAATTAATAATTAAAATTATTAAGTTTAATTTTTAAATTTATTTTTTAAATTCATGTAATATTATATTTTGGGATAGTTTAAAAGTATAACGAGATGTTGCCACGTGAATGATAACGACGTAACACGTGGCCCTACCACGTTTTGTGTTGTCGTCAGTGGCCGAGATAGAACCGCAAGTCTTTCAACACGATGTGGTAAGTGCCGGCTGTCATGCTAAGGCTTGAATGAGTGGTGGTGGTGGCGGCGGCGTTGGGTGTATAGCTGTATTGCTGGCTGTGGCTAGCTATATTACGAACCTCTCTAAGGAGTGACGTCTGCCCTCAATGGTCCAAGAGGCCCCAAAGTGGCTAACTTTGGATTGGTACCGACAAAAAGTTGTCTCCTATACACTATTTCGGATTAATAAGGTAAAGCAAATAGGAGTCGGTTGTTGATTTAAGGATCATTTTGAGTGATAACTGAATTGTTAATTATAAGATGACCTACTTTTAATTAAATTGAGAAAAAAATTAATTAAATTATACATAAATTAATCAGATATTCATGATTATTGAATAAAAAAAAATTATGATTTTGAATTTGAACCTCATTACCTTTTTCTTATAATAATATCTCAACAAAAAAAAGGGGAAACAAATGGCACAGAACATTGATATTTGGTCCACCGGGCAAATTCATAAAGTGTGTATTATTGACCCATCATGGATCTAGAGCACTTTATGAGAGAGAGCCTCTTAAGAAAGCAGAAAGGCTTATGATCCGTATGATATAAATGATGAAAAAAAGGAATGAAAGAAAAATAAAATGATTAAGTTTTCTATTCAGGAAGAAAAAAAAAATATTTTTTATCTTTTTTATTTAGTAGGAGGAATGAAAAATAGAAGGAATATATTTTTCATCGTTTGATATTAGATAAAAATTAAAAGAAAAGGAAAAACATATATATCTAATTTACAATTCCACCTTTAAATATATTAAGTGAATTTTTTTATTAAAAATCAATTCAATTAACTTGAAAATTTTTTTAATCCCCTTATTTTTGTTACAAATTAGTTTTGGAGGAAAATATATCTTCCAGTGATCAACAAAAGATGTGTGAATGGAGAATGAAATATATCCAATAAATAAAGGATAAAAAAGTCAACTTAAAAAATTATTGTCTTACTTTCACTTTTTCTCTCCATTTTCTGCCCAAATTTGGGCTGAAAATATTTGATGGGTTGGAAGAATAGAGATCCCCTCTCACTTTCCACTCCCTCATAATTTCCTTTGGTACCAAACATATGGAAACATTTTCCTTTCCTTCCACCTATTTTTCCACCATACCAAACACACTATTAATGTGGCAAACCGGACTGACAAAGATGTTAATTTCTGGAAATACAAATGAATTCCCCAACTACCAAGTNTCCTTCCACCTATTTTTCCACCATACCAAACACACTATTAATGTGGCAAACCGGACTGACAAAGATGTTAATTTCTGGAAATACAAATGAATTCCCCAACTACCAAGTTTGGTGATTGAGGCACCCAAACCTCAAGATTGTCTCATCAACCAGGTTGCTGATGTTATAAAGGAGAGTCCGAANTAGAATGAATATAAAATCTTATACCACATAAATTTTATACTCAAAATAAACATGCCTTAAATGAACTTCACCTTTGTGTAAGGTGTAGGAATGAAGGGTTACCAGTCCCCATTGTTATTTACACTGGGTCTGTGAAATGATATAACATCACTAGTATAATTTAATTTAGTGGATGCGATAAAAACACCATGGCCCCCAATGAAAGAGAAAAAATAGGCACACCNGTGAAATGATATAACATCACTAGTATAATTTAATTTAGTGGATGCGATAAAAACACCATGGCCCCCAATGAAAGAGAAAAAATAGGCACACCATGTGCATATTTATCTAATGTTGTATTGATTATAGAACCCACATCACACTTCATCAGACAAATATATACAGCACTTTGCTTGTCAATTTATGATGCCAATGTAAAAAATTATAAATTTATTAAAAAAACCGCAAACTTTATTTCTTTTAAACTCCCTGGCCAATAACTTTAAACACAATCTCACTGTTTTTCAGTTCTCTCCAAAAAAAAAAGACCTCTGACTTCTTCATGCGTAACATAAGAATAATTATAGGTAGACCTAGAGATGACAGAGAAAACAATTCCAGGGGANTGATGCCAATGTAAAAAATTATAAATTTATTAAAAAAACCGCAAACTTTATTTCTTTTAAACTCCCTGGCCAATAACTTTAAACACAATCTCACTGTTTTTCAGTTCTCTCCAAAAACAAGACCTCTGACTTCTTCATGCGTAACATAAGAATAATTATAGGTAGACCTAGAGATGACAGAGAAAACAATTCCAGGGGATCTGTCTGTTCTGTACTGTACTTATCCCTACCTTTCGAGTCTTCAACACACTAATTTATAAGCAAACCATACCTGCTAGCTCTACATTTTTCCAGTTCCTGAAGATTTAGCACATCTTCATAAATCCAACAAACGTACCCAACAGTCTCAATATATGAAACTCAGTTCACTTGAAAACCAAAACAAAAGAGGACAACTGTAATAACTATAATCCGTAATTGTATCGANAACAAACGTACCCAACAGTCTCAATATATGAAACTCAGTTCACTTGAAAACCAAAATAATAACTATAATCCGTAATTGTATCAAAGTACAACGTTTGACAAAAAAGAATGTATAAGGTATATCAAATCTCAAATGCACCTACTACATCTCTAATCTCTGTACCATTTAGCTTCTTTTTTTTTTTCCTTCCCCAATTCCCCTTTTTTCTCTCCTCCTACCTCCACTTATACCCAGTCTCCTCTTGCTCCTTCACCCTACTCAACACCCCCTCAACAGCCACATCAAATGCATCCCTAATACCCTCCAACCCCTCACTGGTCTTTCCATACACTATATTGGGCAAGTAATCAATCACTTTCTCTCTCATCTTCCTCACCTCCTCTCTGCTAATTTTTTTCAGAACACCCTTTATAGACTTCCCATTCTTCACATCATTCCGGTCTATATACACCGAGTAACTCCCCGGTTCACCCGGCAAAAACCACTCATACTGGTAATAAGCCGTTCTATTCCAGAAGAAAACCGGAATCGAACCGGCAACCATGCAATCGAAAATGGACCGGCGAGTAAAGCTATCACCTCTTGGCTGTAAGCAAAAATCCGAGTCGAGAAACGTCTCGAGAATCGCCGACGTACCGTTGGAGCATTTGGACCCGCCACAGTCGACGACTCGGCACGAGTCAGACTCACTGAAACATTGACTCAGTAACAAACCTCTAAAATCGTTCTTGATAAATCCACGTGTCGCACCCGCGAAGCAGTAGAGTGTCTTGCGGTGACGTGTACGGACGAAATGTTGCCACTGTTTGACGTCAGAGGAAGAGCTAGGGTGGAATCCACTGGGATATGGTACACCAATATCAAAATAGTCCCAAGAATTCCGCTCAATCAGAAGGCGGGTGATGTTACGCATTCCCGGCAAGTAGATACAACGCGAACCCCAATCTCGATCTTTCGATCGGCGAAAATCCCATGTGATACGACCCATCGAGATAAAATGATCCCAACCATTGGATCTGTTCCAGTACGGTTGATTCTGGACCCACTTTAGCATCATCTCGCAGTGCCGATCACGGTCTTTCCCCGTGGAATTATCGGACCATAAGTATTTCCCAACGGCAAGTCCAGCGTAAAAAGGAATGTAGAACGCCGTAGCAGATTCTGGCTCTAGGGTTCTGCACCTGTAATTCTTCATCCTATTGTGGAAGATAAGCTCTAAAGCAAACTGGTCCGTCCAGTACCATGCATTGGTGAGATTTTCTGGGATGATCTCGGAAAGCCCAGTGGCTCTACGGCCATAGCCATGATTTGAGAGAGCTTCGCAACGAGAGGTCCAAGGGTTTAGATCGTCACAGTTTTGAACCAATTCATAATTGAACATGGGTGGGAGATCGTAAATAAAGACTTTACCAAATGTACAGTGGGTTTTGATCGGAGAGGAGGAGGGAGAAGGGGCAATGGGGGAGGCGAAATGTTGGTGCTGGGTGGAGATGGAGGTGGATGAATTTGGGAGAGAGCGGGCCATAAAGAGGAGGAGGATCTGGAGGAGGAAGATGGAGATGAAGAGCCATGAGCGAGAGAGATAGGGTTTGAGGAGGGTGTTGAAGGAGTTTTTGCGGTCTAAGACTGGGGTTTTGGGTTTTGCAGTGGGTTCTGATGAGGGTTTGTCGGAAATGGGAAGCATGAGAAGTTTTAATGTGGGAATATGGGTTGATTCCGGCGGAATTTAGCCGGAAAATTGAAGGGTTGGCGTTGAATTCAAACGTTGCACTTGGGTGGTGGTGATACTGGCAGCTGTTCCGAGAACGTAGACAACGGTAGTGGAAGGGAGAGAGAGAGAGACGTAAAGCGGAAGGGCTGGTTAGTTCGAGGCTTTTTAAGCTGTTGTTAATGGTTTTTTGATCGGTGTGGACACGTGTCCAGTTACATTACCGGCTGCAATGCTATCACCGACAACAAATAAGTTTGCTTTCCTTACACGTGTCGGTCAAATTTACCCAATCATGAGTAAAAAGCTAATTACGTCGGATAAATTTGCGTGAAAGCAGGGACGTGAATTTGGAATAGAGTAATAATATATGTATTTAAAAATTAAATTCGATAATTTTAATCATTGAATAGATAATGAATCTCAATAAATATTGAGGTTCACAGTAAAATTAATAATTAAAATTATTAAGTTTAATTTTTAAATTTATTTTTTAAATTCATGTAATATTTTGGGATAGTTTAAAAGTATAACGAGATGTTGCCACGTGAATGATAACGACGTAACACGTGGCCCTACCACGTTTTGTGTTGTCGTCAGTGGCCGAGATAGAACCGCAAGTCTTTCAACACGATGTGGTAAGTGCCGGCTGTCATGCTAAGGCTTGAATGAGTGGTGGTGGTGGCGGCGGCGTTGGGTGTATAGCTGTATTGCTGGCTGTGGCTAGCTATATTACGAACCTCTCTAAGGAGTGACGTCTGCCCTCAATGGTCCAAGAGGCCCCAAAGTGGCTAACTTTGGATTGGTACCGACAAAAAGTTGTCTCCTATACACTATTTCGGATTAATAAGGTAAAGCAAATAGGAGTCGGTTGTTGATTTAAGGATCATTTTGAGTGATAACTGAATTGTTAATTATAAGATGACCTACTTTTAATTAAATTGAGAAAAAAATTAATTAAATTATACATAAATTAATCAGATATTCATGATTATTGAATAAAAAAAAATTATGATTTTGAATTTGAACCTCATCACCTTTTTCTTATAATAATATCTCAACAAAAAAAAGGGGAAGCAAATGGCACAGAACATTGATATTTGGTCCACCGGGCAAATTCATAAAGTGTGTATTATTGACCCATCATGGATCTAGAGCACTTTATGAGAGAGAGCCTCTTAAGAAAGCAGAAAGGCTTATGATCCGTATGATATAAATGATGAAAAAAAGGAATGAAAGAAAAATAAAATGATTAAGTTTTCTATTCAGGAAGAAAAAAAAAATATTTTTTATCTTTTTTATTTGGTAGGAGGAATGAAAAATAGAAGGAATATATTTTTCATCGTTTGATATTAGATAAAAATTGAAAGAAAAGGAAAAACATATATATCTAATTTACAATTCCACCCTTAAATATATTAAGTGAATTTTTTTATTAAAAATCAATTCAATTAACTTGAAAATTTTTTTAATCCCCTTATTTTTGTTACAAATTAGTTTTGGAGGAAAATATATCTTCCAGTGATCAACAAAAGATGTGTGAATGGGGAATGAAATACATCCAATAAATAAAGGATAAAAAAGTCAACTTAAAAAATTATTGTCTTACTTTCACTTTTTCCCTCCATTTTCTACCCAAATTTGGGATGAAAATATTTGGTNATATATCCAATAAATAAAGGATAAAAAAGTCAACTTAAAAAATTATTGTCTTACTTTCACTTTTTCTCTCCATTTTCTGCCCAAATTTGGGCTGAAAATATTTGATGGGTTGGAAGAATAGAGATCCCCTCTCACTTTCCACTCCCTCATAATTTCCTTTGGTACCAAACATATGGAAACATTTTCCTTCCACCCATTTTTCCACCATACCAAACACACTGTTAATGTGGCAAACAGGAATGACAAAGATGTTAATTTCTGGAAAGACAAATGAATTCCCCAACTACCAAGTTTGGTGATTGAGGCACCAAAACCTCAAGATTGTCTCATCAACCAGGTTGCTGATGTTATAAAGGAGAGTCCGAAAGAATGGAATGCTCAAATCCTTCAAAGCAACGGTTCTAGGGAGGAAATGAAAGCTATCCAGGTCATTCCAATTCTAGCTAGAGGAGGTAATTATAAGAGAATCTGGTGGCCTAACAAAAAAAGAGAATATTCTGTGAAATCAGGCTATATGATAGGAACGTTATGGGCCAAAGCTTAAGTGAATCAAGCTCTTCCTTTTCCTCTCATCCTAAGTTGTGGCAGGTGATCTAGAACATGAAGGCAGTGCCTAGGGTTAAATACCCTTGGTGAAAGCCTGTCAAAACATTCTTGCTTCTCAAGAGAACCAATATAAGAGGAAATGTGCCCCATTGCCTATGTGTCAAATATGTATGTTAGCCCCAGAATCCATCGAGCATATCTTATTTGAATGTGAATGGACAAATAGAGTATGGTTGGGAATGGAGATGGCATACAATTTGGAGAAAGACAGCTTTTATTTCTATTGCCCAAAGAGCTTCTCAGATTTTGGAATCAATGAAGGATCCCCAAGGTAGATTTGAGGTATTGGGGAAGATGGCTGCAATGGGTTGGGCAATATAGAAGGCAAGGAATTAAAAAGTTTTCAACGATGAGGCCCCAAATGCTTTTGCAACAGTCATGAGAACAAAATGAATGTGGAATGAACTATCCAATGTGGGAGATATGACCTATCCAACAAAGCATCAGGAAATCGTGGACAAGGACGAGAGACTGCAACAGTTAGGGCCTGAGTTTCTTCTTTTCAGCAATTTCTTGTTTGGTTTCAGAAGCAAAGGTGGTGTGACAAGCATGTCTTCTTGCCGATGCACGATCACTGAAGAACGTCACAGTCATCAGCGACTGCCTCAGTATCATCAAACTGAGTGTTACTGAAGATGTTCCCCATGGAAAATTAAGATTCTAATGGAAGACATTAGATGTTTTGCTAGATTACACAATATTAATTTTTTACACAAGCCTAAGTTTATAACAAGACTGCTCATTGGGATGCAGCCACTGCTATGAACAACTCGCTCCCGTTAGATTGGGTTGGTTCCCCACCTTCAGAGCTTAAGGTTTTTATTTTGATCAATTGTAATATAAACTTTCCTACTCAAATGACATGTATATTTCTTGTTTTTTTAAAAATCACCCTCACAGAAAATATAAATCTTGATTACAAGTGTTTTCAAAGGGTTTTTCATCTACATGCCAATTAAATCTATATTTTTAAAAGCAATTTTTTTAGAAGTGTTTTTTTAAAATATATTTTTACGCTGAAAAACATGTTTTGANCTACATGCCAATTAAATCTATATTTTTAAAAGCAATTTTTTTAGAAGTGTTTTTTTTAAATATATTTTTATGCTGAAACACATGTTGTGAANTTTACGCTGAAAAACATGTTTTGAAAAAAAAAATCATTTTTGAGAGGAGAACAGTAGTTAATAAATAAATATAAAATTAAACAAAATGCTACATAACCCAAAAGTTAAAATTCAAATGCATATCATTCCTTGAATGACTATAGGATGAATGGGTTCCATTGAAAAAATTTATGGAATCCAATGAACCCACTCATCTAAGAGATGATAAATATTTGAGTTGCAACTTTTTATATTTCATTTAGGTTTTACAGTATTGCTTTAAAATTAAAGTATTTGAGGGGAAAAAAAAGTTTCCCAATACAAACTCATGAAGATGTAAAAAAACATACCCAATGCACGAAGTTCCAGTCATTGTAAGGTCTAGAGAGAGTTAGATACACATAGTCTAACCCCTACAATTAGAGAAATTGTTTCAACTTGGACCTGTAACCTCCAAATCACAATACAACAACCTTATCACTCTATATANCACGAAGTTCCAGTCATTGTAAGGTCTAGAGAGAGTTAGATACACATAGTCTAACCCCTACAATTAGAGAAATTGTTTCAACTTGGACCTGTAACCTCCAAATCACAATACAACATCATTTTATCGTTCTTTCTCCTTCTTTTGGATAATTTTGAGAGCATCAAAAAATAGAGACGCAAGTACTATAGTAGGCTCGTATTTAAAAATCTCGTTAAGCATACTGCACAAAAATAGACCTTGAAGTCTTCATTTTAATTGTGCAAAGTGNAACTTGGACCTGTAACCTCCAAATCACAATACAACATCATTTTATCGTTCTTTCTCCTTCTTTTGGATAATTTTGAGAGCATCAAAAAATAGAGACGCAAGTACTATAGTAGGCTCGTATTTAAAAATCTTGCACAAAAATAGACCTTGAAGTCTTCATTTTAATTGTGCAAAGAGATTATCAGCAAGTTACCGACATTATTATTTATCTATAATATAAAACATGACAAATTTTAATAAATTCATTCGACGATCTCAAATAAACACATTCAATGGCCACCAACATCCTTTTCAAAATCATTCACTTGGTACCGTACCTTCAAACATGANGTGCAAAGAGATTATCAGCAAGTTACCGACATTATTATTTATCTATAATATAAAACATGACAAATTTTAATAAATTCATTCGACGATCTCAAATAAACACATCCAATGGCCACCAACATCTTTTTCAAAATCATTCACTTGGTACCGTACCTTCAAACATAAGTTACCCATAATATCTATAATATAAAATATGGCAACATCCCTCTCAAAACTATTCACATTGCACCATACCTTAAAACAAGAGTTACTCCTAATATTTGTAATATAAAACACGACAGACTTCAATAAGTTTATTCGACGGTTTCAAATAGACTCATCTATCAACTACAAACATCTCTTTCAAAATCATTCACATTATATACTTCTCAAAATTCATCACTTTTCACTTACGTTATACCTTTCCTTCAGGCATGAGTTATCCCTATCTATAGTATAAAATAAAGCAGGTTTTAATAAGCTCATTCGACGGTCTTAAATAGACTCATTCAATAGTCACCAACATCCCTCTCAAAATCATTCATATTATACCGTGCCTTCAAGCACAAATTACTTCTAGTACCTATAATATAAAATACGACAATATCTCTTTCAAAACTATTCACATTGCACTGTACCTTCAAACATAAATTACCCCTAATATCTATAAATATAAAACACGACAGATTTCAATAAATATATTCAACGGCTTCAAATAGACTTATCCAATAGCTATTATCATCCATCTCAAAATCATTCACATTGAATTCTTTCTGAATTCTATCACTTCTCACTTACGTTACATCGTACCTTCAGATACTAGTAACCCCTAGTATGTAATAAAAGAGGTCAAATCCTCAATAAAAAATTTTATGCATATATGTTTATAACAGAAAATAAATTAATTATAGTCTTATTAAAAATTAGGTTAATTATAGTTTGTTTTAATTGACCTAAGAAATTTTCATACATTGAGAGCGTTGTTTGATGACTTTATTATTCATGACTAATAAATTGATGACTTTATTATTCATGACTAATAAATTAATGTCAAAATCACAAATATGTAGATTCAAGGATATATTANGATGACTTTATTATTCATGACTAATAAATTAATGTCAAAATCACAAATATGTAGATTCAAGGATATATTAGGTATTTTTTTATTTTAAAATTTTGTAAGCAAAATCAGAAATCTTTGTTAGGTTTTAAAATCGATGTTAAAGTACACATCAATAATAAATGGTCAAGTTAATTAAAAGATTTTAAAATGAACCTAATTGTTCAAATTAATTTGAATTTGTCCAAAATGTGTCCACTATTGGTCATTTAGATATGAGTATGTATTAATTGATATGATAAGAAAATAGAGTAATGCTATAAGAATTTAATTTAAGGTGGCTATTAGATTAGTTGTGAGTTTCAAGATTAGATGAAGTCCACGTCTAATTTAATGGCTATATTGGATTAAGTTTTTAAATTATGTTATTAAATTAGGTCCTAAAAATATTTTCTAAAAAAATAATAGGATAGACACTGAGAGTTTGTTTGTTTAATAAGATAATGCTAGAAAATGTAAAAAAGATAAAATTTTAAAATTTTACATTTATTTGTTTAACATGAAATAAAAAATGATAAAAAAATAATTTTCTTCCAGGCTTAAATTTTNAATGTAAAAAAGATAAAATTTTAAAATTTTACATTTATTTGTTTAACATGAAATAGAAAATGATAAAAAAATAATTTTCTTCTAGGCTTAAATTTTTTCACATCTAACTACTTTTTTTTTTTGCAAAAAAACATAAGAAAAAGTAAGAAAGTTGTGTTTAATGACCTAACTTTTCATTTTATCCTTATTTTTTTTAAAAATATTAAATTAGTTATCAATTTAAAAAAAAATTTACAAATTAGACTAACCATATAATTTGGTCTAGAGATTAGAGTTGAGTCGATTCTTGTCTCTAAAATAGATTAGGAGCCAATTTTTTAAAAATTTGAATAATAAAAAATATTTTTTCTTCTTTAGGCTGAACTAAAATAATTAAGGATAATTTAGACAATTAGAAAAAATTTCTTGTAACTTNGATAATTTAGACAATTAGAAAAAATTTCTTGTAACTTTCCTTTCTTTCAAACAATGGAATAAAATTATTTTAAAATTTTCTTAGAAGTTTTTCATGCTAACTAAATGCATGAATGAAAATATATTTTCTTTCACTTTTTTTTTCTTTTACTTCACTTTTTATCTCTTTTATTTTTCATCATCTTTTTCTTGCTAACCAAACGAACCCTGAGGATGGGCTAGTCTTTGAGTGGCTCTGCCATAGTAAAAGTAGGGTTGAGGATTCGACTTTTTTCCCCTGTAGTATATGAAAAATGCTACATAATTCAAATAAAACTTAAAAGTTAAAATTCAAATGCATAATATTTTTTGAATTAGTGTGGAATGAGTAGGCCCCACTAAAAAAATTGATGAAACTCATTCATCCAAAGGATGATATATATTTGAGTTGCAACTTTTGAATTTTATTTAAATTTTGTAGCATTACTTGTAGTATATTATGATTTTTATTTTGGGAAATGATATGCTTACTACAACTTTTATTAAATAATATTTTTATCAATTGAGTTGGCAGTTCCACATCAATCTTAGACCCACCAAATGTTGATCGAAATGCTTTTGAATGGATATTTAGTTGTCAATTCATTTGATAAAAACACTCTTTAATAAAAGTTTTGGCAAACATAACATTATTCTTTTTTATTTTTGGGATAGTAGATGATCATGAAATGGATTATGAGAAAACGTGTTGCAGTGCCCACCGGATCCGGCCACTGGACACTTATAACCTGACTCTAAGCTGCTTATAATTCTTCTGGGGTGCTATATGTTTCGATATTTGAGAGAGAGTAAGAAGTGACTACTGCTACTGGTTACGAATTAGCAGACGGTGCGGTGCCTCCTGTTGTTTATACAAGAACAGGACCGCCAGGCGCCATGATCGCCTTCAAATGCAATTCTCAACTTTCCCGAGAGTTCAAATCTCGATAAAAACTCTTCCAAGAGCATCGAAGACCGTATACATGTGTGTGAATGCGTGTATTGTAAATGCATGGGTTCAGTGGCCTTCTCGGTTGTGTCAAAGTAATGCTTCGGTTGACTCAAACATTAATGTGTGTGTAATAAAATGAAACATGGACCTGCGGTCCATCCAAGTTGGTTGACGGTTGTTGTGCGGGCACTATAGGAGCCCGGTTCGACCCCCACTCCCTGATTTCACTCCAATCATATCAAATGGACAGGTTGAGTTGGTTCAAGATGAGATGAGTGCAAAATAAATTTGATAATTAAGGAGACGGAGGAAGGAATCTTAGTCTATGGTCTCACCCCTGGGCTCACAAAATTTCCAAGTCTACTCTAAAGTTAGACCGAGGA